GGATTTTACTAGTAAAAACAATTCTAATTACTGCTGGGGTACTTTAGCATGGCATTCCAATTTTCATCCAAAAGCATCACACCTCAAATCATGAGTAATAATTTAATCACCACCTCCTTAATAACAAATAGCAATTCACTGTTTTTCTAATGTAGCAAACACCTAAAAACTAAGACTAAAGGCTTACTATATTACATAATTGATCAAAATAAATGTAGCAAATGCAGTGCATTTGGTGAAGAAAATAATAGGTAGATTTAATAACTGGGCAGTTGTAGGGATATCCACACTTGGGAGGTGCTGATCAGTAAAACTTGACCCTTTTTAGGGAAACAGGAAAAAAAAAAAAAGACATGCAAACCCAGAAAAAATCAATTACTGAATCCAGGTGACCTTCTGCCTGATTTAAATCACAGCTAAAGCCTGAGATTTCAATCATTCTGATTTATATCAGTCTCTGAAACTCAGTGGAGAGACCCCAACGCAAGCACATGGCTCCAGTGGTGTGGAGCCTGTCCATGCTGGTCTTTGCGTGGAAGTGCCAAGACCCCCATATTACAAGCTGCAGCTCTTTTTTGGCAAGCAACGCCTCCAACACATGTTTTAAGAACCACAACGTGCACATGTCTATAAGATGACTAACTTCTTGGCAGGACTCAACTTCATTTTGTTGAGGGCCAAGAAAACACCAGACAAAAAGCTTCTCACCCCAAGATCCTACTGCCCACACTAGAGATAACGCACATTTAATCCATGTTTGAGGAGAGATGGAAGCTGCAGAAAAAAAGTCCTCTCTGGTCCTCATTCAGCCCACAGGGGATCCTTACAGCTGAAATACCAACCCAAGGAAAGGCATCAAAGAACAGGTTTCACTCCTCTTTTGCTCCTTTTCCCATCTCCCAAGGATTTTGTGCATCCTCACTCTCTGGAGCAGGACCTTCCTACCTCCTTATTCTGCCCAGCACTTCTCAGTAAGTTGAAATATTGACACATCCCCCCTTCCTTTACCTTTTCCCTCCCAAGAAAATACCTGCACCAGACCTGCACCATCACACCCCAGGGCAGCCGTATTTGCAGTGTATGCAAATACACTTTGGTGTATTTGGTGACAAAAACCGCTTTTCTAACCCCTCGACAAGATTAGCAGCTCGCTTGCTCGCGAGTGGAAACCAGATAAAAGCTCGAACGTGAGCTCCATTCAGCAACTCGCTGTATGCACAGACATGTGTCCCAAGGGATGCGGTCTGAGACTCCACTGCGCTCCACCACGAGCCCCTCCTGCCGACACGCGCCAGCCACCAAAGGTGAGGTTGCCATCCAGAACGCGGCCTTGGCCCTGCAGGGTGCTGAGCGCCCCGAGCTCCCCGGATTTTGAAGATGAAGGAGAGGAGATAAAGGATGGAGCAGGACTGGTCCCAGAGCATGTCAAGCGCAGAGAATTGGAGCGGGTATCTGCTGAGCCAGTGAATCAGAGTGATTTGAAAACAAAGCAATACACAACCGATCAGGCGAGACGGCAAAATTCCTTGCAAATCGTTTGCAAAAACAGGTGGCCATCCACTGCAATTTTTCTGTCAGATTTGAAGAGGAACATCCACGCTGCGCATCCCTGCGTAAGCGAGGTGAGGCTTCAAAGGACTGCCTGCATCCCCCCAGACCGCTCCCCAGGCTGCTGGGAAAGGGGCCGTGCGGAGGCTCTCCTGCACGGCACAGTATTCGTGAAACCACTGTGGCTGGCGAACACATTGCCTCGCTGCCGCCTCCTCAGCCCTCTTTGGTTTGCAGACCTCTGGGCATCAGCAACCCATGAAAACCATGAAAATCAGAGGCTGACCCTGGTGACACCCACCTAGGGCAGCCCTGGGGACCCTCCCTCTCAGCTCCCCAACGTCCCTCAACCTTGCTGCACCCCAGGCCCAGCCATGATGATTATCAGGCTGGAGCACCTCTCCTATGAGGACAGACTGAGAGAGTTGAGGTTGTTCAACCTGGAGAAGAGAAGGCTCTGGGGAGACCTTACTGTGGCCTTCCAGTACCTAAAGGCGGCCTACAGGAGAGCTGGGGAAGGACTTTTTACTAGGGCATGTAGTGATAGGACGAGGGGGAATGGCTTCAAACCTGAAGAGGGCAGGTTTAGATTAGATATCAGGAAGAAATTTTTCACTTTGAGGGTGGTAAGGCACTGGAACAGGTTGCCCAGGGAAGTTGTGGAAGCTCCATCCCTGGAGGTGTTCAAGGCCAGGCTGGACGGGGCCTTGAGCAACCTGGTCTAGTGGGAGGTGTCCCTGCCCATGGCAGGGGGGTTGGAACTTGCTGATCTTCAAGATCCCTTCCAACCTAAACCATTCTATAATTCTATGAAAGAGAAAAAAGGTTCTAGACTAAATGGGAGCAACCCCAGAGCTACAGCCAGCTCTCATCTCACCGCAGGCAGGCAGAGCGCTTTGTCGATCTCCACTCTCTTCTCCAGCAGCAGTCCTTGAGAGGGGGTCATTTATTCGGCTGAGTGGTCAGGGCCATGTCAGGAGCCAGGCTCCTTTCAGCCAGGGAGGGAAAGGGAGGGCAGTCCCAGGCAGGGAAAGGGATAGCTCCTACCAGCCCTGAAGCAGTTGAGAGCATGAAGGAGGGTGGTGAGGTCTGCTCAGGTCACAGGGCGACTGTCAGCAATTGGGATGGCCGTGCACGCTCCCAGTGGCTGATACGGAAGGACTCGGCTGTGGAGGACTCACACTTGCTCCAGGACAAGGCAGCAAAGCCAGCCTCAAGGACGCCAGCCCAGCCCGCCTCTGCAGCGAGCGACCCCTCCTCGGCCCTTGGCCAGGGCACCTCTTGGGCTGTCACTACAGCCAACGCTTGATCCATGACTAGCACCTGAAAAGCCAGCAGGCTGGGAAATGAAGTGGTCAGAAGTCCCAGAGGCTGGTGCCCTGATAAAATGCCAGGCAAGGCACGTCTCCAGACATCAGCATCGCCCCAAGCCTTCTCCCAGGAGGGATGCTGGGTTACTAAGCCCTAAAACCAGCAGCCCTGACACCGTGGGCACCAGCGGTGCCTGGGGCTCCCAAGCTGGCCAGGAGGAGAAGCCATTCAACGAGCCGTGCCTCCAGCTCAGTCCTGGGGGCTCAGCCTGCGTTAAAGCCAGCAGGCACGGGGTGCCAGCGGCTGCCGCCTTTGCCGGCAGAGGATTGCTGACACCCAGGAGACAGCTGCTCTGGACCCGGCCCAAGTAGAGCAGCCAGAAGGCTGCAACACACAGGGCACATGTGCACCGCTGGCGGTGTCAGGGAGATGGAGACCATCACACTGCTGGCCTGGCATCCTTCCAGCACCCACGTAAACCGCCTTGCCAACAGTGTGTGAAAGGCAGGTTTGCCACTAGGATGGAGCTTGGCTGCTGGGTCTTGACATGCTGCTTCTCTGTGGACAATCCGCCCATGGCTCACCCTGTCCTGGGGAGAGCCGGGAGTGCTCCCCCATGGGAGCGAGTTTGGCAGAAATGAAGAAGCAAAATGTTCCGAAAGGACTGGAGCAGGGAGGGACATGAACAGCATCTCTCTGAACCGCATCAGGCAGAGACACCTGTGCAGGACAACAGCACTGATATAAACACGGGCAGAAACCATCGGCAGACAGATGATACTCCAGAGCTGGGGACGCTTTGTCAGAGTAAGAGATGACAGCAACAGAGAGCTCTTGCCATAAATAAAATGAGGCAAGTTATAAAACAACCCTGCATCCCCCAGGAGACCCTAGGAAAAGCCCAAGTCCCCAGAGCAGGACACGCACACACAACTCCTGCAGTTCCTGCTCCCTCCCCGTGATCCCTCTAACATGGCACACAAACAAGGGAAATCTGCTCCCAGGCAAGGAAGCAAATTTTAATGCTACCTCCGTCAATAATGCAACCAGATCCATAGTTCAAAAGGAGCTCGCTAATTAAAAGCTGGTGAGCTTTAAATAATTCATCTCCTTAACTTGGATTGATTGGAGAGTTTAATGGTTAGAGTCTTGAAACAATATTAAACAGCCTCCTCAAGGCTCAGGTAGCAGGTGACTTTTCCAAGTAAATCTTACCTCCTTGCAAACTTTAATGCTCACAAGTCACCGTGGATGAAGGGCCGGGAGGCAGAGGGAACACCTGACCACTGGTCTCCAAGAGGTGATCCAATGCCCCGCAGAGAAGCAAGACAGGCAAGGGCGATGCAGCCCTGAGATGCAGCCCTGAGTTACAGCCCTGCTTACAGCCCGGTAAAACTGAGCTCCTGCCCGTACCGCAGCTGGCTGCTGCCCCAGCTCTGCGCCCCCAGCGTTAAGGAGCAGGCAGATATATGGCCTCAGGGTCCCGGGCCAGGTCTCCCTCCTCACATCACTTTGATCCCTGGTGCAGAGGAGCTAGGGGAAACATGGAGCTCTGCCACCGTGCGTGGTAGTCTCAGTTGTTTATCTTGGAGCAGGCTGCGGGACGATGAAACTCATCGCATGTGTGAGCAAATGGGATGACGATTCAGTTTTCCAGCTGGGGCAATGCATCTTCACTCTGCAGCGTGTTTCCAGCCAGCTCCCAAGGTTGCACTGCTTGCCAGAGCCTCCGTTCCAAGGACAGATGCAGCATCCAGAGCAGCTGGAGGACTGGCCCGACAGGGAGAGCATCCTGCCCAGCTCGGGGACCCCTGCCCTGCGCTCCAGGCACGGCGCGAGCCCTGGTGCTGCCTACATCCACCCTCAGCCCCAGCACTGCCAGACCGGCCAAGGAGGGGAGCATCTCCCTGGCCAGAGAGACAGGCAGCTGTATGTGCCACGCTGGGATGTGCCAGATACCAGGAGCTTATCCCGCATGCCAGTCCTAACACATCTTCCTCCCTTCCACCAGCCAGGCACCTCGCAGCCCTTTGGCTGGCTCTCAGCACCCCAGCTGGACCAGCTCTCAGAGCCGAGGCACATCCCACGCACCCGGAGCAGCAGCGGCGGGGACGGGAAAGGCACGAGGCGGCAGCACTCACCTATCCCGCTGTGAGGCCTCCCTATGTGCTGTAGGTTCAGTCCTTTGTTCATGTCTAAGAGCCCGTTCTTTGGCCAACTCCCCATGGCAAAGCTGTACGCCTGGAAGAAAGAAGCAGAGGGTGAGACCGGTGCACAGCGCAGACATGTTTTGTACTCGCCCGGCATGGGTCTGTGTTGGCCATGTTCAGTGTGGGTGCACGCATCGCCCTCGCAGCAGCTCTCCTGGTGCCACCTCCACCAAGCACCCTCACGCTGGCCTGTCCCACCTGCTGCTCCTCAGAGAAGAGGTGTCCAGGTACTGTCCTTGTATGGGTGACAACCTTGATGAGGTTTGCGGGGTGCTGTGCCGGATCGGCATCACTCGAGGCCACCTTTGCCATACTGAAGCGAGCTGGGGGCTGTGAGCTCATCCTGCATGTCCCTGGGCTGATCCAACATCATTCCCCCATTCCTGCCTCATCAAGGATGGGGTCGGCAGCAGGAGGCAGGGAGGTTTGCAAAGGGGTGCTCATGCCCAGGGTGGCCTGGCCAGCAATCCCCTTCCCCTCCGGCAAGCCCAGACCTCCCAGCCACCCCTCTCCTTTCCATTCCCAGACCTCAGTGGCCTTGGGACTCTCCATCACTTGGAGCCAGCATTGCTCACCCCACTGCACAGAGCCCGCAGCCTGGCCGGAGGGAGCCTGCTCCGTCCCCGTGGCGTCCCCTGGCAGGGCTCCCAGCAGGAGCAAGGCAGGCAGGAGACCGAGCAGCACAAAAACCCACCAGACAACTCAAACGTGAAAGCAGCCGGGCCTCCGTGTCACAGGCACGGCTGTAATTACAGCCTGACAGCCACGTATCTTCTTCATCTTGAGGAATTAAGCTCAGCGCCGCATTGTGAGCGGTAAGAAGGGCGCGTGGGCTTAGCGTCGCTCACGCCGGCGCTATCTTTGCTGCCGTGAGGGCCATTGTCCCCAGATGAGATCAGGTCAATCCAGCAGCCCCTATCTCCCTCCTGCAGCGGGGATCATCGCTAACCGCGGCCACGGCGCGGCGGGGCATCGCCGACACCCTCCGCGGGCTGCGAACGCTGGGGGAGATGCTCTCTGCAGTGGGAGCTCCTGCCAGCCCTTCTGGCCCTGCTACCTGCTGCTTTGCCCAGCGCGGTCAGGACCGGCCCCTGCGCAGCCCCCGCCGCCGGCAGCCCCCCGGGAGCTACGGGGCTTGGGAGACTTAATTTATTACTGGCCTACGTAACCATTCATGCCGCTTTGTTACTCCTGCCTTAGCAAAACAGAGGGCTCCACAGATAATTAATAGACAGCATTGCTAATCCTGTTGGGAGATGATTAGCAATTAAAACTCCTAATTACGTCTATGCATAATTCACTGAAATTACACTTTGTGTACACAACGGGGAGGTTTCCTGTGCCTTCAACAAACACGCCCTGGTATGTTCATCGCCGTGGCCGGGATGCAGGCTGGCTGGCCGTGGGGCAGGGAGGAAGCCGGGGGGGGTGTCGGGGTGTAGGATGGGCCCCTGCCCCCCCCCTGCCGGGTGGCCCTGGGTGACAGTGACAGCGGCTCTGAGTGTAGCTCCCTCTCCTGGACTCCGTCCCAAAGAGCAAGCCCAGGCACAGCGCAGGAAGGTCCCCGTGCTCAGCACCAGAGGATCCAGGCCCGGGGTCGCCGGCAGCGAGGGGCATCCCTGGGGACGGGGTGTCCCCGCAGCACGCTTTGCAGGGAGGAAGCCTGGGACAGGAAGGCAGCAGGGCTGTCCCTGCACAGGGACAAGGCAGGCTCTGAGCTACCGTATCACAGGCTGCCTTCACAGCCCAGACACATCCCTTGGACCCCCTCCAGGAGACAACGGAGGGAGCACAGCGGGAGGCTGGCAGGAACCCGGGAAAGCCATGGGGACAGCTCTGGGAAGCTCCTGCCAGCTGGATGCTCGTGCCAACCCCAGCCTGCCTGCCCCAGCCCCGCAGCAGCAGCAGGGAGCCGGTGGCACGTGCCCCTGCCCCGGGATCAGCACCGGTCCCATCTTCGCGTCGCGTTTTGCTTTCCTAATCAAGGTCATTCGGTACAGCAGCAATACCTGAGCAAACTAGCTAAGCAGCCGGGGTGGAAGTTGGCCTGACCACTGAAGGTCAAGTGTGCACTTATGCATATTCAAAGCTGCCTGCAGGATCGATCGGGTTTTAATTGTTTTTCCTGGGGTTTTGGAAGGAAGTGCCAGGGGCATTGATCAGTCCCAGACGAGGCTGCTCACACTTTGGGACTGGCAGGAACCATTGCTTTGCTGCAGGAAGAGGGAGATGCGGGCAGAGATGAAGGCTGACCGGAGGAGAGGGCAGCCAGCCCCGGCCGGGAGGAGGAGCCATCGCTGGGCTGTGTTGGAAAATAAAGTTTTTTAATTAAAATTGGCAATTCTGAGCCGCCTGCTGGCAGCAGCCACGCAATCAAAAGCGAGGAGCTTTGCTGTTTAATATTTAAAGACAACGTTTAATCTTTAAACAGGAAAGTTCTTCTTCTGACTGTTAAAGCGAGGCAGAAAGTGCCGGAGGCTCCCCGACGCGGGGCTCCCCAGCCCACCAGGCTGGCCGTGGCCACTGGCTCGCCGCCGGCTCATCACAGCCACCGGGACCCCGGTGTCAACCGCGGCCGCTCTCCTGCTGGCTCCCCCGCCGCTCCAGCCCCGCACAGCTGCCGGCAGCAGCGCAGACCCGGCCCCCGCAGCGCTTACCCCTGCAGCAAACCCTGAGAAAGTCGGAAGATGCTCCCGCTCGCAAGCCAGAAGATTTAAAAAAAATGCCATGAAACCCTTTTTACAAGGAAATCACGCTAATTTGTCCCTCCCTCTGGTTCAGTCCTGGCATTGCAGGGACTGGGTTGGTCCCTTCTAGGTCAGACACTGAAGCAGGGCCAGGACGCCGTGGCATTTTATTTTCATCTGCATTTTAATTGATGAAAAATGCAAGTATCTTTTTAAAAAGGCATCTTTTTAAAATGGTTTTGGTCAAAACCATGATTTAGAGACAAACTCAACGCCTCTGATCCGCTAAACCGTACCCACACGATGTTTGCAGAATAATTTCCAAGCAGCTTGAACGCAATTATTTCCATTCACACCAGCTCCTCGAAAGGTCTCCCTTTTTTCCTGATTTTGTTTGTAATTCTATGAAGGCTACATTTACCTCCCTGCCAATGCTGCTCTGAAGTCAGATGATTATTAATTATATTTATTTACTTATACAATCCCATAGGCATACGCAGCAGTTCACAGACAAATACCGCCCTGGGTCCCTGATGCAGGGATCTCGAATCAAAGGTAAGCACATACTCCTGTGATAAATGTGAGTTAAGAGCAGCAGGAGATTAGGAACATACTGTGTTTCCATGCACAGAGCCAGCATCACGGATAATCCACAAATCCACACCCTGTTAAAAGTGTCAGTGCGGGGATCTAAGTTCTTTGGTCACCTGTACCTCACATAACCTGCAGAAAATCCCCCCAAAACCCAAAGGTGAGGAGCTATTAGGGAGTAAGACATGTGGGTACAGCAGCCCGGAGCAAGGAGATGCTGTGTGCGCAGGATCACAGCATCTGGGGCTGGCTTTATAATAAAGATCTGAGATCTTTTTTATTGTATCTGAGATCATTCTCCTGTTGCACCAGGTCACAAAACTTCCCGCTGGCCATGCTGCATCTGCCTCAATTTGCAAGCAGCCCGAAACAAGAGCTCCGCGGACCACTTCTAGTAGTGGTGGGGGTCAAAGATGGTCCTCTGTGCTGGGACAGGAGCACACCAGTGAGGCTGGGCAGTGCCGCAATGCTGCTTGCAGGGGGAAGAACATAGGATTTGTCCAGTTCTTATAAAAACAGTGCCTAGTATGGCATCGAGTTCATCCCACCTGCCCTTGCTGCAATCCCAGTGCGAACCAGCCTCCATCCCCAGCACTGCTGGGGCCAGCAAGGTGGCAGCGCCGACACATCCAGGTCCTGATGCCCTGCTCCCTGGAGCTTGTTTGAGCCACACGCCGTGGTTTATAAGCAGCACAGCTGCAGAGAAGATGTTCCAGGGGGTCAGAAAATTCCCAGAACTGGAACTTGTCAAGCTGATGTATTGATCTAAGTGGACTGAATAATGCTCCATCATTTATTTATGGGGAAGTGCCCGGCACACTTCACAAAAACTCATGTTCGTCAGTCACATTAAGGCAAGATTTAACATCCCACATCATGCAAACAGGGCACCTGCGCAGAGGTCAGGGTGATCGCTTCCATGGGGAGCCCCACAAATCCTTCCCGCACGCGTGGGGAGGGACAGGGCTGGTTGTTACAGAGCTGCTGGAGCTCTGCTAGGGCAACGTGCCGACACCGACAGAGCCAGCCCCGTACTTTCAGCATGTGCCGATGCTGTGACCAGCTCAGCCAGCCCCCAGCCCCTCTGCTCTCCACTAAAGCTGCTGGCACAGAGCCCCCTCCTGCCCTGCCCAGCCCGGCAACCTTGTCATTTTTCATGTCCCACCAAGAGGTTTTAAATGTTTCACCCGCTAATTGTAATTTTAATATTAATACGGGCACTTTTCAGGCAGGGAGAAAATATTTCCTTTTGGAAAAAAATCCTCCCAAGAGGAAAGGGGCTCAGCGGTTTGAGAAGATGCTGAAGTGCGGATACTAAGGAATTAAAAAAAAAAAAAAAGAAAAAAAAGTGGTGGTTTTTGCTGAAAGTTTCCCTTAAGAATTTCAAAAAGGCTCCTAAGAAAAACACGGTTTTGAACAGGTAGAAAGTGGCTGTGAGATCTCCCCAGGTACCCTCGGCATGGGCAAGCGGAGGGTGCCAGCTGCGCTCCCCCAGGATCAGGCCAGGCGCAGCAGCCAGCCGTCGGAGCCGACCTCCCCCTGACATTTTTGCAATGGAGAAAATGGCTTTGCGACAGCAAAAGCATCTTCCTCCTCTTGTCATGTCAGCTGCATGCTGTGTCCGCCCAAAATAAGCATTTCCTTCTAACTCCCCTCATTCCGCTGCTGCCGCGATGAGGTGTCAAGGTTTAATATTACTTGGTACAGTGGGAAAAAAAAAGAGGTCATGTCTACAACTAAGTGGGCTTTTAAA